GGGTGGAGGGCGAGCAGAGAAACTCCGGGAGTGAGTGATGCGGGTGTCCCGGAGCAGTGACAGAGGGTGTCTCAGGGCAGCCCGGAGTCCCGGTGTGGGGCGAGCTGCGGAGAAGGGGCGTGATCTGGGGCTTTCACACTGGACGTTGCTCTTCCGCAGGTTTTAAGTCAGAGCAGCTAACTGCGACCTGGAGCTCCGTGACGTCGCCGCCTGTTGGAAGGCTTCTCCCCTGTGGGTATTGTCCCCTTCCAGCCCCAGGCGTTCTCCCCTCCTGCATGCTTTGGAGGGTGGCGGCCCTGACGTGCCAACGGGTGGGACTGAGGCCCGGGAGCAGGGGGTTGAGCGCTGATCCCCATCCTGTTGGGTTCTTTGTGGGGATGAGCCCAGGGTGCAGCCTTGAGATAGCTCGCTCAGCACCGCGACCCCGCTGCCTGCCCCCTAAGCCACATCCCGGTAGTGATTATTCCAAGACGGGTCCATCCAGATCACTACCCACCATTCATTTGGTCCCAATATACAAATCCTGTCATCCCCTTTCCCTCTTTTTTCTGAGATTTAGTTCCCCTTTACCAGGCAATGCGCCTCAACTCACTTTACCAATTACAAATCCCCAACCCAAATTCTAGAATTCCCTCTCTCCTCTACCTGCAAAACCTCCCACCATCCGAAAAACCCCACCACACTGCTCCTTTGCCCTCCTCTTAAGAATGTCCTCCTCTGAGGATCGAACCCGGGTCGCACGCATGCCAGGTGAGCGCGCTACAACAAAGATGTTGTGTCCACCGAGAACTAAAACACAAATATTAAAAATTCTCTCTCTCTCTCATCTCTCACTCTCTCTTTAAAAAAAAAAGAAAAGAAAAGAAAAAAAAGAATGTCCTCCTCTGGAATCTCCGCTGCTGCCCATGCCCTCAGTCTGTAAATTGTTTCCTGGGACTGACTGCCCTTCATCCCTGTCCTTTAAGGTAGTCCAGCTTGCTTGCGATACCTCCTGTTCAGCTTGCTCCTCACCTGCCTGCTGTTAGGGGTGGCTGCCATCTGCCTGGGAGCCCGCTGTGAGTATGGCTGCCCCATTTCCCATTTACCTCAAACTACTTCTCTCCTCTCCCCCATAGTTCCCTTCACAGAAGAGTTCATAGTCACTACCACTACATCCTCAGCTTTTGGTCTGGTTTCCTGCTGGGTCTATTTTCAGTGCCCTGTCTTCCCTGTCAGTCCTTATCTAATCCAATATCTCTTTAAGCTTTAGGCAATCAGGTCTTATATTTTAGCCTGTTATGCAAAAAGTTTCATAAAAATGTTTCAGGACATTAGGGTCTGGCTGGAGAAGATGCCCTCCAAATCTCTTTTTATGGCTAACCAGATCTGCAGGTATCTCAGAAACTGCAGCAGGTGAGTAGTGTTCTGGAAGACACTAATAGCAGCCTTCAGGAGCAGCTTCACCTAAGGATAACTCAGCTGGGGCAGAAGGAAGAGAATCTGCAAGAGTCCAAGAGAAAGCTGGCCCAGAGTCAGGAAGTGCTACAGGTGGCGCAGGAAAATCGCCAGGCTGCTGAGGGGAAGCTAAAGGACTGCCAGTTGGACAAGGAGAAGACCCAGGAGACTTTGCAAAGGGAGGAGGACCAGAGGAGGGCCTTGCAGGAGAGGCTACACAACATGCAGGACACACTGAAACCCTTCTTTACATGCTCCCCACAAGGTAACTGCTCTGGGAGAAGAGAGGTGGGAGAGGTGGTCTGTGAAGGATGGATTGAAGCAAGGAAACACTGGGACAGGGCTCTATCTAGCTCCCAGGGATCAGTGGATTGTTCAGGAAAGAGGCAATGAAGCAGAAGAGTGGCTGCCTGAGCCATGCAACCTTGGCCAATGGGGAGAAAGATCAAGCAGCATACTGGATTTAGGGGCCTCCCCTAGCTCTAAGGCAGATCCTGGTGAGGAGTGGGTAGCAGCCAGCAGTCCAAATCACACTGTTTAAAGAAGCATGGCAAAATTAGTTTTTATCTGGTTGACATTGACAGCATGGATCTAGGAACACCTTGAATTTGTATGTGGGATTGGTTGTTTGTACAGTTTTCTAAAGACTTGGTGGCAGCTTTAATTAATTTTCAATACATCAGAGATCCCCCTAAAAGTTAAGAACTACTGACTAACACTAGGTGCAGTTGGGAGGTGGGGCAAGATAGCTAAAGTTCTCAGGCACATGTGGCACCCATCATGTGGTTTAAGGGACCAGGATGGGGTATCCATCCACTTTCAAAGCAGGAGCCCAGCCAGTATGTAGAGGTGGGTAAAGGGACACCTAAAAGAGAAAAGGCTGTGCAGAAGCAGGCTGAGGTTCTAGGCAGGGTGCCAGGGGACTAGAGTTTTCATGGATTATGGTGGGGGTTGGGCTCTATTTTGCTCAGAGGGCATCTGAATGTTTTCTCTAGGTTTAAAGCAGCAAGATTACATGTAGTCACCCATCCCAGCCCTTGTTTTTTTAAATCTTCTTATCTACTATGGCCCACAGTCCCTTGACAGCTGCAACCCATACTGCTCTGCTGTAACATCGGTTGCAGATTTCTACTCTGATCACAACTGCTCAGACTTTTACTTCTTTCACTTCACTGAAGCCTCCTCCAGTCTGGGGACTCCTGTTTCCTTTCTTCCCATCAGCTGTTTCCTACCCTCATTTATCTCCCTACTCATCTCATGTTCTGGAGTCCATCATTCAATATCTCATCCCTTTGTTTCATTGTCTATCTCTTACACTAGACTGGTAAAAACTCACTTTCAGGTTGGGGATGTAGCTTAGTGGTAGAGCATTTACTCAGTATGTGTGAAGGCCTGGGCTTGATCTCTAGTACCATAAAAGCAAAATTCACTTTTTTAATTTTTTTTTTTTTGGTAGTACTGGACATGGAACACATGGCCTTGCAAATGCTAGGTAAACACTGAGCTACATTCCCAGACATTTTTTTAAATTTTATTTTGAG